GAGTGGACGCTTGGCTTTATGAAAGCTATTACAAATTACGATGTTAGACAACTGCACTGGTTCGACGAATCGTCAGTAATCCGTACAACTGGGAACCGTATCTACGGGCACGCTGAAAGAGGGCAACCTGCAGTCCAAGTTCAAAGACATGCCAGTAATGCCAACTATACTATCAACTTGCTAACGAGTGCGTCGGGTATTGGCCATGCTGATATTTTTACTGGGCCTTCCAACGGTTTAGAAATGTTGGATTTTTTTGATGACGCAACAAGAATCGTCGATGTATTTGGAAACCCCATTTTATCAGATGGAGACTGCGTTGTTCTCGACAATTGTGGGTTTCACCACGGACATTTTGTAGAGCCAGCACTAAGAGATTTACTACGTAGACAGGGAGTTGAACTAATTTTTCAGCCTCTATACAGTCCACAGTTTAATTTTTGTGAACTCTTATGAAAATTTGCCAGGAAATGAGGAGTATTCTTATCGATTTACTGAACTTGCCGTTGCCGAGGCAATTAGGAAAATTGGTCCTGGTGCATGTCGTCAATTTGGTTATATATAAATAAGACGTCAAACTGAAATGCATATAAAACGTAATTTGCAGGGTTCGAAATACTCGGGTGCACACTGCACTATGCACATAGATTATTAGCTAGTGCAAGTAAACTCAAAATCCAATGTGCACGCTGTGCATGTAGAAATTAACACAACATTTTCTCATTATATTCACTAAGCCTAAATTAGTTTTAACCAATATTGTAAAAAAATTCAAAAGCACAAGTGAAAAAAATCAAATTCGTCCGTGATCGCATCGTTCGTGAACGCATCGATTGAGAACCCGGAAGTAAATTGGCAGCGTGCTCGCGTACATTGTGAAGAGTACTTTGGGTCTCGCGTGACCTCAGAACAGCATACAAATTTGCGCATGCTCGGTAGTCGCGTGTCATTTGGTTGGTATACAATCATGTCAAAACAACGAAGCCTTTTCGAGTGTGGACTATTGACATCGTTGAAAAAATCTGAGACGGCTGAATGCCCAGTATCTCAAGCAACAAAAAATGATCCCGATAATGGAAACATTTCTGAACAGATGTAGTACTTGCACACGTTTCTACCACTGAAGGAAATGTTGAATCTCAGCAGAGTACGAGTGCGGCATCATGTGTCAACACTGGGGACCGCGACGCGAGTACTTCGTTTACTCGGTGATTGAGTCGCCACCCACTAAGAAAAAAAAAGTTTATCGTTTTCAACAGACGTGGCTTCAAAGAAAAAATGGTTAATATTCGATGAAAAAAATAATGTAATGTTTTGTGATGTTTGTCAGAAGTTTGACCACAGTGGAAAGATAAACAAATTTCGCACACAAGGGTGTAATTCCTTTCGTTTACATGTTTTAAATGGTCATGAAAATACAAGTAACCATGTCCAGGCTGTATTATCAAAGCAAGTCAAGGAATGTAATCCAAAAGACAGACCAATAGAACGACTTTTGATTAGAATGGAAAAAAGTGAACTGGAACAAATGAGAGTTTTATTTCGTGTGGCTTTCTTTCTGGCTAAATCCGGACGTCCATTCACAGATTTTCCTGGACAGATAAAATTATTGGCTGTTAATAATGTACCTGTTAGTGAAACCTATGCAAATGACAAGCAGGCACGAATATTCACAGATTACATATATGAAAGTAAAGGTGTTGAGATGATCAAAGAAATGAGTGAATCAGAGTTTTTTGCTATACTGTCAGATGGAAGTACAGACACTAGTATTACTGATGAGGAAATTGTATATGTTAAATACATTAAAAATGGTAGGCCAACATACAGATTTGTAACATTTAAACCTCTTGTTAAGGTAGCGAGAAGGGTTTTGTGACGTTTTTAAATAAAACATTCTTTGTCTGTTGTCTCGTTCAGAACAGTAATTTAGGTTATATATATCAAAAGACTAAGTATAGAGGTACAAGTTCGCACAAACTGGACAGTCATTGTTTACATAATTATCACGTGACATCAAAAATGGCGAACCTTGTAAAAATGACTAAGTACGCGATTGCGAGAACACACTGCGGAATTTCCTGGTGAAATTTACGTCATGCATTGTCCGTAATCAAGCCCATTGAAATGCGTCTCCGATAATCAAAAGAGCTATTATTCCGATTTCTATGCAGGTTTGTTTTTTTTGTCCTTAAATTATTTCATACTTGGCACCTTTAACAGACTATTATTCTGTGACAAAGCATTTTCTTTAAAAACCCAGACATATTTCGCACCATCATTATCTTTTGAACGATAACTGCGAGTTTGAATGTCCTAGTCCGAACGCACTTGATTTGGCGGCGGTCCCAATGAGTCGTACTCGATCAAAACTTCAACTCGAGAAAAACGCGAAAACAGTTTTGGTTAATAAAACACTGTATATTTGCTGCATTATTATAAATATACACTAAAAA